TAGAACGTTACAGGGGTTCCAATAGAATATTGGTTAAAATGTTAAGATTTAATATTCGCTTTTAAATTTTTTTTTTTAAAACAATTAACTAATTTTGTATTCAGTACATTTTTGACTGTCTTAAAAATGTGGACCTTTCCCATTAGGGGATGGGGTTGAGGATGGGGAAAGTACGCACCAAATCCATTAAAATAACATTTTATTAACATGTACCATAATAAATCAATTAAACAATCAATTCTATTTTCTGAGTCTGCAATTTTATACGATACCTCATAAAAGTATGAATTTCATAAAAGATATATTTTAAATGTATTTCTCACTAGTTCAATCTCTTTTATTTCAGTGTCCCAAGTCAAGCCTACCGATTAATCAGGAAGTGCGAGATCGATGTACAAAATTGTCACCGGAACAATGTATATTGAATTGCCGAAACACAATGTAATATCATTAGGCGGATTGAAGTACGGAATGGTGTTTCTTCTAATTTTGGAAAATGTACATATAGGTAAGTAAAACGTGTACTATGTTGTACCACAGACCCTCTGTGTTTTGCACTGTAGTTGTACAAGCCTGTAGGCCTACATGGATTTAATTACGGCATCCATTGCTGTGTTGTTGTTCAGGCCTGTATTTTTCAGACCTGGGACTTTCTCTAAAATCGGTTTATTGAGAGTCTTATTCATTAATTTTGTGGACTAATTTAATAATACAATGGCATTAAACCGGACTATCTGTTGGTTTTCTCCATTAAAACAAAAAAATGCTGGTAATATATCGAAGAACGAATGCATTATTTAGATTAAGATAACACAGATTAAATATACAAACATTAACTCCTTTTTCGATATATTAAATATTCTATAATAACAATGCTCGGATAGGATATAATCATACCAAACGGACCAGGTGTTGAATGAGAAGAGGGCCACAGATTTGGTATTGTAAAGCGTTACAGGGGTTCCAATATAATATTGGTTAAAATATTAAGATTTAATATTCGCTTTTAATTTTTATTACAAAAATTAACAAATTTTGTATTCAGTACATGTTTGTGGGGAGAATACGCACCTAAATCATTACTAAAATAACGTTTTATTAACATGTACACTTAAATAATCAATTCTATTTTCTGAATTTGCAATTTATTATATATATATATTTATAAATAGGTCTATATTTTGAATGTACTTCTCACTAGTTCAATCTCTTTTATTTCAGTGTCTCATGTCAACTCTACCGATTCATCAAGAAGTTCGAGAAAATGTACAAAATTATAGGTAAGTAAAGTGTGTACTATACTGTACCAGACCCTCTGTGTTTTGCACTGTAGTTGTACAAGCCTGTAGGCCTACATGGGTTTAATTGCGGCATCCATTGTTGTGTTGTTGTTTAGGCCTGTATTTTTCAGACTGGGGACTTGCTCTAAAATCGGTTTATAGAGGGTCCTTTTCATTAATTTTGTGGAATAATTTGAAACATAGAAATCTTAACATTTGGCCATAATACACTGGCATTAAACCGGAGTATCTGAGTGAAAATTTAAACAACAGTAACAACATAATAGGAGCTAAAGATTCGTCATTGTGTGATGACGTACCGTATAGTGTTGTTCGTGGGCACACATTTTTTCAAACTACATTCTACAATTTAACGCCAAGTACTCTTTAAAATTAGGTAAAATAATTTTAATTATTTTAATTAAATGTAATATTATTTATATAGTGATTTAAAAATGATCCATGGGTCGTAAAATTTGCTTTAATTTAAACAATCGCATAAATATAGAAATTTATGAAAATAGAATGAAGCATAAAGTGATGTTAATGTTGTTAACGTATATTTAATCGTTTTTATCTTAATCTATTTTAATGTATTGCATTCGTTCTTCGATATATTATCAAAATTTTTGTTGGTCTATTGGAAAAAAAACAATATTTTGACCTATTCTTAGGTACCTTGATAAAGACCTAAGGATAGGTCGAAATATTGGTTTTCTCCAATAAGGTGTTCTAAAGTCCATATACATGGTATTCATTTCCTATATTCTTTATATATATAAATATATATGTATATATATATATATATATATATATATATATATATATATAGATATATTAAGTATTCTTTAATAGCAATGCTCAGATAGGAACATAAGACGTTATAATCATGCCAAATGGCCCAATTGATTTGGAAGATGGCCACAAATTTGGTATTGTAGAACATTACAGGAGTTCTAATAGAGTATTGGCTAAAATGTTAAGATTTAATATTCCCTTTTTAAGCTCTATTACAAAAATTAACAAATTTTGTATTCAGTACATTTTTTACTGTATTAAAGATTGGGTTGGGGACCGTGGGGAGAGTACGCACCCAAATCATTATTAAAATAACGTTTTATTAACATGTACACTTTACATAATATATTAAATCAATTAAACAATCAATTCTATTTTCTGGAATTTGCAATTTTTTACCTCATGAAAGTACGAATTTCATTAAAAAATATATTTTGAACGTATTTCTCATTAGTTCAATCTCTTTTATTTCAGTGTCTTAGATCAACTCTACCGATTCTTCAAGAAGTGCGAGAATGATGTACAATCATTGTCACTGGAACACAATGTATATTAAATTGCCGGAAAACAATGTAATATCATTGGCCGGATTTATGTGGTCTTCTGCAAGTAATCGTGCGCGGATAT